TGTTGAGGTCCTGTGTTTTGTTGTGGTGGAGGGTTTGGATGTGTGTGCTGGTTAGTTTTAGTTATTGATAACTGAGTAACGAGATCGTAAGATGGAGAGAGCAGTTTTGTAGTCGCATTTTTTTGTAGTCTTAATTGCTGTAAGTTCCTGTTGGGTTCTAAATATGGGGCAACTTCTGTTTACAGAGCTGTGAGGATCGGGGGTTTGGTTTTCTTTGCAGTTTACGCAATGTGCGGGTCTTGTGCACTTGTCGTTGGTGTTTGGGTCCAAGTGGTATTCTTGTCCGCAGTTGTAGCACAGCTTGTTGTTTTTGCATGCATTACTGATGTGGTTAAACATAAAGCATTTATTACATCTAAGGGGCAAGGGAATGTATTCCCTAACATTAGTTTTTTGGTAACCGATCATAATATATTCCGGGAGAGTAAGAGTGTTGGAGGTGAGAATTACAAGGCCGGTCTCTGTAAGAGTACCGTTTTGTCTCTTCAGTATTTTCTTCAGTTCTAGTTCTCTTTTTATAATGCTTTCGTCGTTTCCTCTAATGTCGTTAGACTATATGACTCCCTTGGTAAAATTAAGAGAGGTGTAGTTGGACGTTGACGGCTATCTCGGCGAAGGCTTTCATTTGGAATAACCTCTTTGCTTGAAGGTTGGTTTTTGTTTTAATTAGTAGAGTTCCGTTTCGGAGTTTTTTACATTCCTCTACTTCGCCGCTGCAGGCAAAGTCAATTTGCTTCTTGATCAAGAACGGTGATACACTGTTTAGATCGAGATTTGGATCTGATCTAGATATGGTGATGTATTTAGGGCCGGGTGTTTCTAGGAGTTCCATGTTATTGCTATGGGTAGTTGGTGGACCCCGTTGCTACGTTTATGGATCGTAGGTTATGCTTGGCACTTGCACTTCTTGGACTTGCAGTTACCGTTTGGTTTTTTATTGTTGTTTTTTTGTATGTTGGTTTGTAAGATAAGCTTTGGATTTGTAACGATGATAGAAAGGCACGACTGTTCTCTACGAGAGTGTGTTTGTGACTGCACTTAACTGTTAAAAAATTCCAATGTTTCGATGTTGTATTGAACCCGCTGGTGTTTTGTCAATTCTTTAAGAAAAGAGTTTCAAGTGCGTCTATTAACTTAGTTTATTACGAGTTTAATAGAGGATTTTGGATTCTCACAAGAGGATGTTGTTGCATCGCACCCCGGTAACATTGGGGCGCTCCTCGGGTCCTCTATTGTGGGCGCCTGTTGCAAAATTCAGTGCAGCACTCTGGAAAGAAACCAGAGTGCGCTTAAAAATGGATTTGCGGAAGCTTAATATGTTTAAAAACGCCAATATAAATATGCAGGCGGCAATCGCCTACGTCGCTGGTCGCAAGGGGGACCTTAAGAAGGGCTCCTTCTTCATGACGAGCCCCTTTAAATCTATTTTAAATAACCCGCGCCCTTTTTTGTTCGTCTTCGACGAACTGCATTTTAAAAAAATATCCACCTGGCGGTTTGAGAGCTGGAAGGCCATAGTGGTGGCCATTGCCACCCTCGACGGGCAGTATATGCGCTTCGTCCACCTCCAATTGGTAAGTTTAAATTTGTTTATGTTTTTTTCGGTCTTTGCCTTTGTCTTTGCCGGCCGCGCGCTGTTAGAGATGGTTATCGTATATCGTAGACATATCGGCCAGTCCCAGTGCAGTGAAATCTACTGCCAAATGTAAAGCAATTTGAAAAAAGGCATTACTTTTTGTAAAATGTAAAATGTTTCGGGCTTTATTTATTATTTATATATTATTATTTCATTATTTATTATTTTTATTTATTATATATATTTATTATATATATTTATTATATTTTATTATTAATTATTAATTATATATATTTATTATACATACTATATTATTATTTCATTATTTATTATTTTTATTTATTATATATATATTATATTTTCTTATTTATTATTTATTATTTTTATTTATTATTTATATTTTTTCATAGATGTCTCCAGAGATCAGCAAGTTGGGGAAGGATGAGATAAAGGACGGAGTGAGGGAGGTTTTTTACTTCGCCAAACACAACGGGCTGCAGCACTACCTGGGTGTAGCCGTGTGCGATGGGAACTCGGCCAACCAGGAGGCCACCCAGTGGCTCCTGGAAAAAGGTGTCCCAAGTCTGTATGACCACAGGCACTTGTGCGGGCGCCTTGTTCGGTTGGGGGTCGCGGATGGTATGCTCAGGCACGCATATAGGCATCTTAAAATCCGCAAAGGTACCTATATGCGTGTCCTGGGCGAGATGGCAACAAAAGCCACAACCGCCCTAACATCCAAGACCACGGCGCTCGCGCATTACAAAGAGGAGTTCGGGAGGATGGAGTTTGTGCTGCGGAACATTTACCAGTTGGTGCCAGAGGAGGAGGAGGTGTCCCTAACCAGCTTCAATGCTGACCTCCTGGAGGACATCGGCAAAAAATGGGCTTTCGCGTTGGAGGAGGCGATGGCGGAAGCCCTGTCGGTGTTCCCGGAGGTCAGGGAGGATGAGGAGCTGGCCCTCCTCCTAGTCGGCAGCATGGTGGCGGTGATGGCGGTCACCGAGGACCCGTATCATTTTTAATTATTTATATTTTTAAATAAAATATTTCATAAAATATTAAAAAAAATGTTCTTATTTTTAATTTTATATAATTTTATGTATTTTTATGAAATTTTCTTTACAGGGGCTTATTTTTAATTTTATGTAACATTATCAAATTTTCTTTACAGTAAAGTAAAGTCTTTACTTGTAAAATAATAAAAAAATATTGATGAAAATGTAAAGCTTTCGATTATTGATGAAAATGTTAAGTTTTTAACAGAAGGGAACAAGACGACTATAAAGATATAACATTGAACGGTTATTGCGGTAAATTTTTTTTTAATTTCTTAAGAAATACAAGAGAAAGCCGCAAGTGTGTGAAGTTAAACCAAACCATTTATAAATAATACTTTATTATGGATAACAACGAGTTAAATGAGGGTAAGTACAAAATCTTTGTATTTACTTATGGGCATAGCGAACGTACGTTCGTACGCACTTTGTGCAAATAAAATACAGAAAATAAACGTTTGCTTAATTTTGTTTGCTATTCAATAGCATTTTGTTAGCTGTTTGCTCCACGCGCTGGCAGAATCCGCCGCCAACGCACTGGAATCCTGCGCAGGGGTTGCAGCCTGCGCAGGCATATGTGGCGCCACAGCCACAGTGGTATCCTGCGCAGGGGTGGCATCCTGCGCAGGGGTGGTGTCCCAAGGATTTGCGGCGCCACCGCCACTGTGGTATCCTGTGCAGGGGTGGCATCCTGCGCCGCCACAACAGCAGCAGGCTCCTGCGCAACAGCAGAGGAGGAGCAGCAGCAGCCTTCTGCGCCACAGGAGGAGCTGGTGTAGGAGCCGGAGGAGGAGCAGCAGCAGCCTCCTGCGCCACAGGAGGAGCCGGCAGCAGCGCCACCTGCGCAGGCTGCTCCCCCGTTGGCACCCCCACGTGTGCCGCGGCCATCAGCAGGGTGTAGGCGTCCTGTCTCTCCTCAGGAGCGGCCAGGGCGCCCATATCCAGCACTGATACGGCCGCGTCTTTCATTGCCTCCCAATGCTGCAGTGGCTCACTGGCCACAAATGCCAACTAAGCATCAAGTGAGTCACTTCGACGGCAATGGGAGGCAATGGACGACGACGCCGTATCAATGCTGGATGTGCTTGACAAAATGCATTCATGTATGTAAAGCCAGGCGCCACAGCTGCTTGACCCAGTCCCGTACATATTCGTGCCCCTACTGCCCATTAAGCTCTGTGAGCAAGAACCCTAGTGGGCATAGGGCTAAGTGCGAAGAAGACGGGGTCACGGCGTACGTGCCGGATGGCCCACATGCCACCCTGCGGCAACACTGGGCGGAGCTTAACAACGGGGTGATGCAGCCTGCTTCGAGGGAGTCGTCGATGTCCCCCAGTCGCGGGAGCTCAGCGACGGGTTAAATGTATTGTTGTAAGTACATTCTGAAGTGAAATTGAATTTGATTTAACTTTAATTATAATTTTAATATTATTTTTAGATCCTCTCCCTCAACGGCTGGGGGCACTGAGGCGATCCCGAGCAGGTTACGCCCGACGGTGTGCGGCTTGCGGGTAAGATAAGCATACGCCAGACGGCCATAGTAGCTAACCACATATTTTCTTATTCCTTTAGATGAGCCACCTTAGCATCGCCAGCTCTGGCCGGGATTGACAATGCCAATGGTTCCGGGCATCACCTCCTTCTCTGCCATGGCCAGGCCATCCTTAAGCTAAGGCGAGCCAACCTGCTGATGAACTACATGATCAACCTGGCTGGTATCTTCTCCAAGTACAATGCCCAATCTTGGACGACTTCGACCACTGACACTGAGGCGCGCGTTTCAACCAAGAAGACGGCTTACTGCCATATTTGCCACCTAGCTGATTGAAAAGTTTACCAACGAGATATTTGATCCCTACATCATCGAAGATGTGCTGCTAAACAGGATCTCATGCCTGACCTCTCTGGCTGCGGAGAAGGAGAACCGACACAGCGTTCTGCAGAGCTTGCTGTCACTATTCTGGGACTACATGGAGGGCGACGAGATCAAGTTTGTGCTGTGGAAGTTCATCAACGCCTTGCTGGGTACCTTTACGCATACGATCCAAGGACTGGACTATGAGAAGCATCGCCAGGCGCTGAGCATGTTACATTTCCTATGTCTCCACGAGCAAACCAGAAAGTATCTGCTGGAGGGAATGCTGTTCAAGAAGCACTGGTAAGATTAAGGGATTCAATGGATTGATGATTTTAACTAACAGTCGTTTAGTCTCGCCTTTTTCTCTATATCCATACGCTGGAGTTCTACATCATGGAAGAGCTGCTGCCCGACACCATGGCCTGGACAGAGGAAATCGATGGACCCAAGGATAAACATCTGAAGACCCGCTGGTGTTTTGTCAATTATTTAAGAAAAGAGTTTCAAGTGCGTCTATTAACTTTGTTTATTACGAGTTTAATAGAGGATTTTGGATTCTCACAAGAGGATGTTGTTGCATCGCATCCCGGTAACATTGGGGCGCTCCTCGGGTCCGCTGATGTACTTGCCGTACACCTGGTAGAACTCACTCCGCTTCCTGGCGTACATCGATGCCTGCCGGCAGAGGTCGACGTTCACGCGATTCTCCGTCAGATAGAAGCTCGAGTTGATGTGGATATGGCTGTGGCTGATGAAAATGCTCTGGCCTGGCTGAGAATTGGCCGATCGAGTGGCCACGTGCGATGATCCGGACACTGTTTCGGTTATGGAGTCCGATCGCTTCCACAACACTATGGGTTCCTCGGACGGCTGGGGCATCGGAGTCTCTTTTCCGGATTCGGCACTCTCGTAACTACTTGAACTGCTGCTGTTCCGCAGCTCTTGAAGGAGATCACGCATTACCAGGCACTGCGATTTCAGGACACTGAGTTGTTCCTTCAGTTCCTCGTTGTGGTCCATCAGAGAGGGATTCGATGGGTTCGGTTGGCACGGTATCTGCTGCTCCTGGGCAAGTTCCTCGGCTTGGAATGCAGACCCCGAAGGCAGGGCATGGCGACACTTGAGGTAGCTCTTGACCTGCACCTCCGCCAGTTGGAGCACTTTGGACAAGCCCAAGGTCATGGCGAAGATTACCCCGAAGCTCTTTGCGAACTCAAAGGCTCCTCCGGAGGGATTCTGCTCTGAAGGACTGTGGCACAGCTGCGGCTTAAACGTTATTCCAGGGTGCTCTATAAGAAAAGCATTAAAAAGTGTGCCAAAACCAACTCGCTCTCAATTTATGGATCTTGATATAAGGTAGTACATATCCCATTAAAGTTTGTATATTTATAACTCAACAAACAAATGTAATATACAATATTTACGTGACTATAATCTATTTATGTTTGTATTAAAGTATTTTATTTGTTATATTTAAAATATAGTTCATTTTGAATATTTGTTTAATATGTTTGGTTATTTTTTTTTTAATCATTTACTTTTATTTCTCTAATCCATTAATAAACATTTTGCTAATACAGCTAGCCAGAAACTGATCTTATTTTGCCATAACAAGTGGTAGAGCAAAAACGTTTCAGAATTTCCACTCCTTACACAATTATTTACTTAAATTTACTATAAATTAACTGGCCGGGGCCCTTCTCACCTGTGTAGAGTCCACGCGGAAATCGGAGGAGCCACGCGTCTGAATCTGGACCACGTGCTGGAAGCAGAGCAGGACCCAGGCAACGAAGGCCAGGGCGAATAGAAACAAAAAACTTATGCTTTCGAACATGATTCCCGAATTTTTTGTTGTGTGCTAATAACACGTGTGGTTATAAAAACAACAATCGAGCAGGTCGGGTTTCGTGTGAAAAAGTTTAAAGTGAATGAAAATAAAACTTGACACTTATATCAATGACAATATTCTGTTACTTTTAGTGGGATTGTACTTGATACTTTTTTTCCCTTTTATTCGATTTTTTTTGAGTTGGGAGCTTAAAGTAAGTTTTCTCCTCATTATTATTTTCATGTTGGTTAGCGTCAGCACTAAAATAATTCCTAATAACTTTGTTTCTTCGAAATGTATGTTTAAGGTATGTTTTCTCGTCCTGTTAAACTTCAATTAGGTTTAAAAAGCGGTTATACGAACTTGATATCGATATTAGGAGCCGTTATTGGTCGAACCTATCGGTTAGTGTGACCGCAGCATAACAGTGCTGAAATTCCCATAGTTTGTAAAGAGAGCGATGTGCCCGTAACACCACAAAAACCAGAAACAAAACGTGATTTTTTAATTTAATTTTTTGGAAGGAATTTAGCTGCTTTAACCAAATAAAATGGAGATGATGGTATGGGGTCCGGTGAACGCGAAAGACCTGACTAATTAACGTTTATTTTAGCAAGGAGCCTCCCTGCTGTCGCGACCGGCAGATGAATTTGGCAACGACTCACTGGTGGAGGAAATGTGGGCATCCAAAGCTCTGGAGCATGCCGAGGTTCATTTCAACGTGAGTTTGTGTAGTGCAGGGGAATATCCATTAACAACAAAACCTCCCGTTCCCTGCAGCTGATCACCAGCGTTCATCCCTCCCAGCTGAAGCTCACGCCCTACGACGACCAGATATATGCCACCTTCCGGCAGGATTTCCCAGATCTTCAGGTGGGCCGGCTCAGCGATGACATCCTCAAATCCGCCGTGGAGAAGCTTAAGTGGCGCCAGTTCGCCGAGAAGTTCAACAAGTTGGACGACTATTCGTATGGGACCCTGATGCGTGCCGATGCCAGCAAGGAATTCTCTCCGGACAACTCGATCTTCGTGTTCCGGGTGCAGTTCCTCGCCATCGAGATTGCCCGGAATCGTGAGGGACTCAACGATGAAGTTCACAAGAAGCACAAGCCGGCCAGGAAGATCCCAGAGGAGGCCCAGTAGTTCCTCGCCTTTGCTTAGGTTAAGTTGTAAAGACTAAATGCATTTTTAGTTGGTGTTCGTTTAGCTTCTACTAAAAAATCAAATTATTTTTATAAAAATAATACAAATACATGATAATATAAAGAAAATGGAGCCCTTTCTTGCAGTATGAGTTGTTTTGGTACGAATTTCCATCCTGAGTTTATATTTAACCAGCAGCGCATGCAAATTTTTACATAAAAATTATGGAGTAATAAAATATTATTGTAAGTTTTTGTCTTTCTTGACAAAATAAAGAAGTTCAATAATAAAAAGAAGCTGCATTCCAAAGATAGTGAATAACTTATCAGAACATTTATTTCAATAAAATAAAAGAAATATAAAAACATGATCAATTATCTTAATAATATACTTATAAGATCAGTAAGATCTACCAATTTCAAACACTGGAAAAAAGGCATTCGTATTTATAGGGAAATCGATTCCGTTTAATATGTGAACAACAAAAAACCCAAGGTTTTCAGTAAGAATATTGTCTGCTAAATGTATATATTAAATATATATATTTAATGGGGATTTTCCTAATTGCTACGTGTATTGCCCGCACTTGGTCCATCATCAGTCTTGCTTTTGGGCGGCCCGGCTTTATTGCCTGCCTCCGATTCTCCTCATTACCACTTATAGTCCACTGGTATTGCTGGTCATCAGGATGAATGGAATAAGTGCATCCATCTGCATTTGACCCACCAAGTTCGCAAAGAACAGCTCCTCCATGGCGTCCGCATCCAGGCTGCTCAGTGGAAGAATTCGAGCCACCAAAACATTAAAGCGTCTTCACCCCCTCCAATACCTCCCTGCCGTCTCAAACTGGACAAAGCGTAGAGTTGGACTCTACGGACATATCCTCGCAACGACCGCTCCTTGCGCTGCTGCAAGAGGGAGGGATTAAACAGCAATATTAATCGCAGTAGGCCGAACTCCAGGTCCGAGACCTCCAGCGACTGGAGCTCCTGGACAAAGTCGTGCAAAGTCCTGGTCAGATTGGCCATCTTCGAGATCTTGAGCGGTTCGATCTTATCGATATCCGCCAGTTGGCGAGTGCTCTGTATAAACTGCCCGATAATGGTGGGCACCGACAGCTGTCCCTGACACTGAGCTAAAGCTATAGCCATCAAAGCTGGCCAGGCTCCCCTTAGAAGCTTAACTTGACTATGGGCGTCCAAATGATCGAAAACGGGAACCTTTCGAAGGGTATGGACGGTAAGGAAGATAATCCTCGAGCCCGTTTCGCACACTAATGGATATTCAAATACGAGTGAACCAAAGTCGGCGGTTGAACATGAAAAGCACACTGCACATCGGTGAGAAGATCCTGATCAAAGACGGCCTCATTGACCACAAAATCGCCGGTGCCGCTTCTATTACCACCGCACTCAAAGTCCAGATCCATGTGCTCCAGTTCAGTATCGGCGGCATCCTCGGTGCCACTGTCCTCCGCCTCTGAATCGCATTCGGGCTTGACACTCAGATTGCCACTCCTCTCGAGCTGGTTTTGGATGGGCTGCAGAATCTGCAGTCCCCTGTGGATCACCCGCATGTCCAGCGAACTCTGGATAAGGCCCATTGTCGAGGTGGTGGGCAGCGTGGTGGGTGCCTCTCCCGCATTAAAGTTAAGGTGCTGCGAGTTGTTATTGCTGGCGCTGTTTGCCAGCAGCTGCAGGCACAGCGTGCTACTGTTGTCCATTGAGTCGTCCTCTTCATCCTCGGGATCTGCCTTTGTAATATCCGGAGAATAACTGCCGCTCTGCTGCTGCTGTTGCTGTTGTTGCTGCTGCTGTTGGGTGGCAAACACTGGAAAATAAAATCGAGGTGGTTAGGGTAGCAATAAAATGTAAATAGAAAGGAGGGTTTACTAGGGATTTTAAATACGGTTTTTATCTATCTCCTATATCTTCTAAAGAAGGTTTTAAAATTGGGAGTTTAGAACCTACTTTAAGCTTACTATGAATAAATTATGTAAATAAAACACGCATATAAAATACAATAGAAGTCCACTGACAATTATGTATGGATTTATACACAAGTTACACTTACTTAATGTCTGCGTTAGTTCCGCGAAATTCAGACCCATTGGGAATAGATTCTCATTCAAATTGAAGGGCGTTGCTGGCGTGCTATGCACGGGGGGCGTGGCCGCGGCCTCGGCCTTGACATTGTGCCCCTTGCCACGCGCCTGCTGATAGCCGGACTTGCCGGAGAGGTAGGTTGAGGAACTGCCTCCCCCACCCGAAGTCGATGAGCCACCCGCTGCGGCGATGATCCCCTCCTTTCTGTCGACAATCGGTTTCCTCTCGTGCTGCACAGCTGTGAATCAAAGTTGCGGAGAACGGAAAGCAATTAAATAGAGCAAGAAGTATAATCAAGTTGCGGTTTGATGATTTTCCAGGCGAGGTGATGGTGGTGGTGAGTAAGTGGGTGAGTCGGTTATTGTGTGTGCTGGTGGGGAATCTTTTGTGCCCCCGCAGCTGCAGGTTTCAGATGGTGAACAAGTAATTGCAGTGGATATTCATGTAAGAGAAGCTAACGTTGGCAATGCAATTAGTTTTGTGTGATGGGCATGAGGTAAATTTAACTGGTCCTAACTGTTTAACCCTTTTACATATTTTTTATTGACGCATACTCAGATTTAATTGTAAGAAGTATCTAATTGGTAATTTAAAACAAATATTGTTGTTTGAAATTACAACAGTCTTTTAAACCTCATAGGAAAGCCACCAAAAAACTTGAATAAAAAATTTAAAATGTTTGTCGGATAAAAGCGTTTTTGTAAAATAAAACCGTTTGAAAACTAAGATAACAATTGTTATATGTAAAACCAGTGACGATTAACTTCTTTAATTGAACATCCCCTGAACCCTTGGATTCGCTGCTGCTATAGCCTGCTGAAGCACGTAAACTCTGGCTACGCCAGAGATTGGAAATAGCTTGAGACGACGACTTAAACGAAAATTACAATCACTTCGCATGCCGCTGGCCAGGCACTTCTGCAGCCTGCAGAACTGGCACCGATTTCGGTGGTGTTTGGTGACCTCGCAGTTCATGGCCCCGCGACACTGGTAACCCAGCTGCTTCCGGATCGAGCGTTTGAAGAAGCCCTTGCAGCCCTCGCAGCTGATCGCCCCGTAGTGCCTCCCTGAGGCCCGATCCCCGCAGACCAGGCACAGCTCCACGCTCAACGTGGCGGATGCTCCGGCTCCCATTCCCACGCCGCCTCCTCCGAGCGGTGTGCCTCCAGACGTTCCGCCTCCTCCCATCAAGGGCATCGCTCGGCTTTCTGAAAGGTCAGAGGCCAATGGCAGTGTCAGAATGGGTTCCAAGGTGCAATGACTCTGGTGACTGGACTCACCTTCGCTTTTGATGAACGCCTCAACCTTAACGCCGTCCATTGTCGCTACAACAGCCGGCAAAACAATAGTCGTTAGCTGCAAAAATTACTGACCACCAAAACATGTTAGTCTTTTACATTTTTTTAATGATTTTTTATGAGGTACTAACATAAACTAGAGATACGATTAGGTGTGAAAATCTTTTCACATACAGTTTTCAGTAATTCTTGATGGTTACATTTTGTTTTTAAAGTGTCATAATTATTTTATTTATTATAATTATTTCGGCAATTATTTTTATGACAAATGTTGAATGTGACATAATTTATTAAGAAAACAATGAATTTTTATCTTCTATCATTAACATGATAAATAAAAAATTAAAAAATATCTAATGATTATTATTAAATTTTGTTGTTACACCCCGTGCAATAAAAGTTTCAAGTTATTTAACAAAATTTCAAGAAACTAGTCCTAGCTGTTCCTCAAAAAATTATAGATTTGAAATATTTGTGTCTAATTAATTACTTTCACTGCTACTCTTTTGAACTCAATTGTAGGTGCTGCTACGTTAGCTATTTTAATAGAACCCGTTTCGGCTGCATCTGTGTTGGTGTCTGTGATGTGAATGAAGTGGTCTTGCTTACCTGGCTCTCTGAAAATTCTTACTAGACTAATGCTATCACCATTCTTGCACCTATAAAGTAACACTTGTTTGAGGCACTTGTTTCTTTGTATGTTATTCACAATTAATTTCACTATTTTCAGGCACTTGTGGCCTTTTTGGAACCTTTTCACGGCAGAAAAATCTCCTTGTTCCAATTGGCTTCTTAGTAGTGTGACCGCAGAAGGTCTATTTCAATACGCCACCCTCCACTATATACTAATAAAATGTACAGCTTTTTAATAAAATATACCAAGAATATACTAACCACTTGTTGAGCTGAATCAAAATTATTCTTTTTTTTATCAATGTTTCTTTTTTTAACAAATTAAAGCTAGTATATAATACTAAAATGAATATTTAAAAAAAAGAAGGGCGCTGGAAGCTAAAGTCCTTCGGCCCACTTGATCAATGTATTGTGTATTATTGATATTTGAATATTTAAAGACGAGTATTTTTGTTATTTCGGAACTTTAAATTATACGTGACTTTTAACGTAATAATTCGTTCAGATATCAGTATAGTAAGGAATGCGATTATTAAAATAAAATTAATACAGAAAACGATGTTTTTAAATTTTAATCTTTGAATCCGGCTCATAATTTCCTGTCAGATTAAATGTCATGTCCCGCCCAAAAATATCGTTGGTTTAAAATGCAGAGGTTTGTTTACAAAAATACAATTTAATATACAGGTGAAATTGTTACAAAAAAGGTATAACAAAGAAGGCCCTAAGAATGGAACTAGAATATTTTATTGTTTTCCTTTTTCGCTTGATTTTAGGTCTTACAAACGATTAAGCCACAGGTTGCTTACACAAATATCTAAAAGGCAGGCAGGGTGGAGGGTGAGAGAAAGAAAGGATCGGATTCTGGTCATGGGTCAGCCGAAATGGAAAACAACAAGCTCACGAACATGCACACTCCGCCTACACAGCATCACTACAGTCTACTATTTGAATTATTTATTCTTCAAGCCCATTGCACGTTTGGTGGCCCTTCCCAGGAAGATGCCGATAAGGAAGACCAGGCCCGTGACGCTCATCAATATCACAAGGAAGAATTTGCGCGCAGGCGAGGCGACCACCTGTTGCACGAGCTGCTGCATATCCTCGGGGGGCAGCGCCAGCGTGTCGTCCGCATTCCGGAACATCTCGATGCGCCGTTGCAGCTTTTCGCGACAGTCCGCTTCCAGAGAGTTTGGCGTATCCTTCAGCAGCGTTCTCAGGCAACTCAGTTCTGGAAGGACGATATGACAATTGTAAATCATTACTATTTTATTAATGATAAATTTAATTAAATTTATATATTAATATTATTAGCCGAACGGAAGTGAAATAGTTGTAATATACCATACTTTTATTTCGGAAAAGATAAAATCTAACTGTTGGTATCATAGTAATCATAGTATCAGCTGTAGTGTAAACTTACTGCGTCCATTGCCTGCCGACACCTTAGAACAGTATCGCAGCAGATCCACGGTACAGGCCGTTTCCAGAATGGGATCCACGTGAATGTCTGCCTTGGCTTCGGCGATCAGAGTGGCTACCTCCATCTGACACTGTCGGTTGATTATCTGCTTTTGGAGGAAGGCCGTCTTTAAGCACTCCGCCAACTGGCCGTGCTCGTCGCTATCAACGTTTGCCTTGCACAGCTCCTGGATCTCCGACTTGCAGAACACTTGCAGCAGGGGATTTAACTTGTAGTTGAGGGCCTGCTCTTGCAAGATCTTGATCATCTCCTGCGCACATTGTTCGTCCAGCGCAGACTGACGGAACTTGTCTTTTAGACAGTGAATGACCTAATATGCAATAATATAAATTAAAGTTAATTAATATATGCATTAAATTTATTAACGAAGATAAAGAATCTTAAAACTATAATCCCATATTTTCCATTGTTCAACTGTTATTCATTTAAAAACGTACTTTTTAGACAAAGGCCACCTTACCCTTTAGAACAGCTTTAGGAATGTACATATATTTTAATTATGTATCGAGGATGAGAAAACTGGTTACAAAATAAGTGAATCGATTGCTTAGATAATGTTCGAATTTCCTTCTATAGGCAACTTAAGTCCTACGGAAGTTCCTGATACAAATTTTCTGACCCTTTAATGAATACTCAATTGAAAGGTTTATTCAATTGGCAGGGATTGATAAACCGTAACGCAGATAAGAAAGTAATTGTGATTGCAGATCGTTTGAAAAATAAACGAAAAACGAGTACATTTCTCGTTGTAATCGTCACCGCGCGATTATGCCTTCCAGAGTGGCCGGCAATTCTCGATTCAGTTTTCGTTCAAAGTCGAAATCAGTCAGGTCTGATGCGTAGACGCGGCGTATACGTGATGCTTACGCTGTGCGGTGTGCTTACCGCTGCTCTAATCGCTTTTCTTGTGATACTTCTCACCGGTGGCCAGGGTGCAGATGCATCCGATGCACCAACGGTGACATTGGAACTATCCAATGGCCAGGGGGAAGTTCTTGGGAACTATGGATCCACAGCCTGGACGGACCAAACGTTTATGCAGTTTCGTGGCATTCCCTTTGCCGAACCACCAACGGAGGAACTGCGCTTTCGGGTAAGTCAGTTAATATGGTGTCACAAAAACAGCAATAAATTTAAATGAAAACATTAGCAAAGCGTCAAGAAAACTATTTTAAGCAGAATTGAAAAGTGTAGGTACAGAACCTCATATTGTCAATACAGAGGTTTATAAAAATATAAACAGATTAAACACCTTGATTCCACAAAATTGATTTCTTAATTTAAAAGCATTATTTCCACAAACAACTAAGTTATTTGCTTAAAATTCCATCAAAAACCCCGCCTTACACATACTTTGATCTATTTAAGCACAGGGTATTCCAGCTTCGAAAGTATTTGTTTCCCTTAATTATCTGTGATTTTGATTTTTGTTGGCGTCACTTAAAGTGATAAGCGGGTTTATGACGAAGTAAAAATGCTTTCTTTTCTATATTTTGACTAAAAGCCACCTGTGGCGCGTTCACCATGGACAGGCACCCTAAACGCACTGAACTTTGGACAACGCTGCCCAGTGATAACAAATCTGGATGGACTGTTGTCTGATGCTGAACTCGAAGATTGCCTCAACCTGTCGGTATACACTAAAAATGTGAGTGCTTTTTAGTATTACTAATGTTTATAATCCTAATCAACGTATGATAACGCAAAGCCATATGGGATTCTAAAGGGTTACGACTTGATCTTAAACCTTAAGGATTGTTAAATACTCTTTTGACAAGTAAGATTCTAAATACATCTCTTGTTAAATCGCCATTTTAGCTTTCTGCCAGCCAACCTGTAATGTTCTACATTTATGGCGGAGGCTACTACAATGGCTCCGCAGAGGATCATCCACCTAACTATATCCTGGAGAAGGATGTTGTACTAGTTGTTCCACAGTACCGAGTGGGAGCGCTCGGGTGGCTGTCGACATACACGGAGGAGCTTCCGGGAAATGCTCCCATTGCAGATATCCTAATGGCACTCGAATGGGTGCAACTGCATATTAATCGTTTTGGTGGCGACCCCCAGAAGGTGACTATTTTTGGTCAGAGTGCCGGAGCTGGAGTAGCCAGCGCTTTGCTGTTGAGTCCAAGAACTGGCGACAATCTGTTCAAGCGAGCAATTGTGCAGTCAGGTTCGATTTTCGCCAACTGGGCTATCAACAAGGACCCAAGAGCGCAGTCGCATCGAATTTGTGTTCGGTTAGGGTGTTCCAGATGCGAACAGCACGATCACCTCGTAGAGTGCTTGCAAAAACGAAAGTTCAAGATATTCTGATAGCCACGACCTCGGAATCCTTTTCGCCTGTTGTGGGAGATTTACAGGGTATCCTACCGCAACAACCACGTGAGTTGGTAAAAAGCTATCGCAGACAGGTCCCTTGCTGACAGGATTTACTCAACACGACGGTTCCTTCGTGCTAGCAAGTGAGTGATATTAGAGTCTTAAGTGGGGTTATCTAAAATAAAATTGTTATTTTTTTAGGTTATTATGATGCTCTGGCTGCAAAGGTATCTAATGTGAGTTTGTTAAACGTTCGTCAGTTTTCCCAGGGTATTAATGACATGGTAAATGATACATCGGGACTTTCGGATAACATTTTGAACCGGTTGCTCTTTAAACCTCAGATGCTCAACAGTCATGATCATAATGCTGCAGTTCCCTCATACTTCGATGTAAGTCTATGTAATACCCACCAAATTATATTTTTTGCTTAACATTAACATTAACATTTACAGCTGACATCGGCAATATTTATGAAGTCACCTGTGATAACCCTAGCCACACAAATCTACACCCAACAACCCAACACTCCGGTTTATCTTTATAGTTTTGACTACGAGGGCGAATACACTCGATTTGGCTATGAGTTCGGAAATTTACACTATCCTTTAATGGAGGAGTTCATCACTCAAACGATAACATCTATCTATTTTCCACCCATCCTCTGGAGGGACAGGACACCCAGATGTCACAAAAAATGGTGGAAGTATGGACTTCGTTTGCCATCGATGGCATCCCCGGCGAACTAAGTCCACTGACCAGTGCAAGTGGGCCATATAATCAACTTAACTTGGAGATAACTAAAGGTGAAGATTTATTGGAAACTCTGACGGCCGCAATTGACGATCCGGACAATGGGCGACTTCAGCGGGAAGATATGGATTTTTAAAGTGTGCCATTCAACATAATTCAATAAAATGTAAATAAAACAGGAAATCACTTAGTTAAGTAATCCAAATCCAACGCGAACCCTATTCTGGTAATGGGATGATATATCTGACTAACCACTACCGGGATATTATTTTTATAATATTTTAACTTATTACTAATGTTGCAATAGTTCTACCACTCACCTTTCCGTTTAGTTCCTCATTAGGCAGAGCACTGGCCACAATATTGGAGCAATACCGGTCTATGTTTTTTCCGCATGCGCTTTGCAGCGAGGGATTGAACCGGAAGTCCGTATTCTGCTCGATCATGCGATTAACCACCACCAAGTGGCACCGCTGATCGAACTGCGTGTCATCCTTGTACGTCTTGAGGCAGTCCAGAAGTTTGCCTGAATCAGTGCTGGGGCAGAACTTGTAGATCATCTCCTTGCACGTCGTGAGAAGGGTGTAGTCAGTCCCGCTGTCGCCCAACTCTGACTTCTTCACCATGAAGATCGCATGATGACAGGGCTTGCCCAAACTGGGTGTCTTCCTTATAAGGCACTCCAAAGCCTGCAATCCATATATAAAAGTTAATATTTGCTATTTGTGTAAAGATTTTCTGGTTTGAGTGTGAAATGCGTAAGGAAGGAGCCATCATGATTACAGTCTTTAAGGTTGGAAACCGTTTTTATGAATTACCAACGAAAGAACTAAATCATTGTTCACCACCCCCAGGGTTAAAGCGTATTAGTGGTTAAGGATGAGTTAGATAACTTGCTTTTTCATTCACCTGACCGGGACCCTTTTCCTCCTCGCAAAACAGCTCCAGCTCACGCTTACATGCGTTGGCCAGCTTGGGGTCCAGCTGAATGCTCTCGCGCTGCTGGTACAGTTGGGCCTTCACCTGGTGACGGCACTCCTTTGGGATCTGATGACGTTGCGCTTTGATAGTGTCGTTGCGCATAACCTCGCTGAGGCAAGCCACCACCTCGTTTTTGGTGGCGCTAGAGGTGCAGAAGCGCTGGACGTACGGTCTGCACGCTTCCTTGAACTTGGTGGTAAAGTGAAAGCTCTTAAGCGAGATGATCTGGAAGTGTTCGATGGCGGCCCGACAGCGGAGATCCTTTCGTAGATCAGCGTCGTTTTTGTGCGCTATAAGACAGTCCATCATGTCGCCTGTTAAGTAACATATATTATGAAATGCAGAGAAATGTGATCATCATAACTTCTATTACCATTATCCTTTCCGCTCTTAAGTATGGCTGAGCAGTGCTGCTGCATGGCCTCTCCACATACGTTCATAATGACGGGATTCAGTTCCACGTGAGCGGCCTCTTCCTCCGTGTACTTCACCACCACAGATTTGCACTCCGACTGCAGTTGGTCCATGTTCTTTTGCAGACACTCCATTTCACTGCCCTTTTCAGTGCAGTCAGAGCAGAATGCCGAGAGATCGTTGAGGCAATAATCTTCGACCTCGGGAATCAAGTCCATGGATATTGCGCGCTGTCTCATTACACGCTTAACCTCTTTGAAGCAATCCTTCCTCAAAGTCTGATGCTCGTCCTCGCTGAAGGCCATGCGATGCAGGCAGGGCAGGATCATGGGTCCCCGTTCAGGATCCATTTGTATGTTCTGCGCATCATCCCACTGCTTCTTCGCTCGGCAGTACTTTACTGCGTCATCGCGACAGTGTTTGTACAGCTGTGGATCCAACTTGAAGTCTCTGGCCACGAAGTATTCTATAATGAGAAGCGCCTGCTCGCATTCAGGAAGCATTACGGGGGTGCCAATATGCTCCACCAGACAGCTCATGACTCGGGCGTCGCCTCCCTGCACATCCTTGCAGGCCACGTCCACCACTGGCTTGCAGGCCCGTCGCAGTACCGGATCTACGCGCCAATCCTCGCCGGCATCACTGGCCTTTATAAGGGTCTCCAATCCCCGCTGGCACTGCGCCGTTACTCGTCGCTGTTGGCGCCTGGCTTTCACATGCTCCAGCAGGCAGTGGATTATCTCGCCACCAGTACTTGTCATGCCATTCACCAGCTGCGCCTTGTGTTCATCCGGACAGAATTTAGGTATATCATCCGCACAGTCGTTAAGAAGCTCCGGTGACAACTGATAGTCCGTCATCAGCATGCGTCGGTGATCAGTCAACTCGGTGAGACAAGCGGGCGCCAGCTTGGTCCCGTTCTTAGACACTGACTCCAGGCAGAGCAGGATCTGGGCCAACCGGACATGTTTGTCTTCGGAGACGCCACGTCGGCAGTGGAACAGTTTAATGTCGTCCTTGCAGGCTTTGGCCAGACCGTGAGACACGCGATAGTCGCGGCCCATCTGCTGATCCCTCAGTGTAATTTGCGAGGCGCACTGGGGCGACATCGAAGGGTGGTTCTTGTGCCGCACCAGGCACTTAAACCCGCCGGCAGTGCCAGACTTCTCCTGAAACAAGAAAAATCACTTTAAGTTTTAATTTTAGTTCGTAAAAGGTCCTGTTTTTTAATTATTTTTAAAATTTCTTTTTCAATAAGAATTCATTTTATACCGATCTTCGTTTCATTTTGGCACAGCCATACCTATCATTTGATGATTCCCATTACCTTTCAACTAGTGACCTCTTCATATTTATTATTGGACAGTGCTTCTACTCCTTATCTCTAGTCTTTTAAATGTTGTTTCTAAGCAGACAGTTTCATTTGTGGATTCCACTCACCTGCGAACACAAGGACGTTAAATCCTCCTGGCAGACCCGAAAGAGCTCTAGCATTCCGCGCTGCAGCTCAATGGAGTTGATGGCAGCCTGGCAGATGGGTTCAAGGCTAGACTTCACGTCACTCGACTGGAGGCATTGCACTGTGCCCAACTGCGACAGCACGGAGGGAAGATGATCAATGTTTAGCCGGCCGCACTTGTGCTCCTCCACAACCGCGCCGCAGGCGGTGTAGAACTCATCTACGGCGCTGTAATCCTGACCCAAGGATTCGTAGGCCCTTCTCAGGTGCTGGTGGCAGGCGTTGTTCTGCGGCAGTTTCAGCCGCTGCTGCTCGAGGCAGCTCCACAGGTGCACGGCGTTCAAACAGCTCTCCAGCTTGGACTTCTCGGCGGGACAGTAGGAGGGCAGGAAGCTGCTCTCCATCCAGGCGGGCAGCTGCAACTGGCGCTGCTGCAGCCAGAGGGCATGTTGGCAGCCCTCCGGGAGCTCCTCCAACTGGCTAGAGCTGAACGTCAGGGCGCACTCCAGCATGGACAGGTTGTCCGTGGACTTGTGGTGCGTGCAGAGCTTTTTGAGATCCTGGCACTCGGCTAGGTCAATGATGCTGTGCACCGCCTTTGCGTTGTCCACGTCAATGACGGCTCGACGGATGCGTTGGAGGGAATCCCCGGCCGAGGTGGCCGTGGCCATCAGGAAAACCAACAGGAGCAGCATGTTTGCCGGGTGACTGTCCTAAAGACCGATATTCTGCGCTCCCGTCTCAGTGGCCGGTCATCGAAAACACCTCCAAGGGTGTTCTGCTTGCGTAAGCTAATGGAGCTATATTGGCAATCGTCGACGCGGCGATTTGATACGCTGCTTTCGGCCGAGAAACATCCGCAAAGGCAAATATATTTTGTCGAATCCGAGCAGCGCCAACAAAAACAACAAGTATGTGGAAAATGGTTGGCCGGTTCGCGAATCCGCCGCTCTTACGTTCTGGTCATCGCTCAGATATCTGGATATCGGATAATATCTGGTCGGAGTATTACCACAGCCTATGCCTTGACTATGCTATTGCGGAATTTAAAGCGCTGATATAAAACAATTCTTTTTGCGAGAAGTCCAAGGGCAAAGGCGTAGCAAGGGGGTTTGTTTTAGCACGGTCACATTATAATACATCGCGGAACAAAATACCGCAACCGACGTGTCCCCTTCTTGTAATCGTCTGTCGGGAACGTTTTTTTTGGTCGAAAACGCGGTCGATGTGCGATAAAGGGATAAAGGGCGAAATCGAAAAAATGATAACGCCTATCAACCATTCGATCGTAACGGATTTTCAAACTAGTCGAAAACGTCAAAGCGAACTGAAATAAATAAACAAATATATAACTATAAAAACTTAGTCTAGTTTAGGAAGCTAGAGTGACTTACTATTTAGACTCTCTTCGAGTTGATCGTTTATGGTCTCGACTTCCTTCCTTGCCTTCTCGAAAATGTCATCCAGAATCCTGGACTTGTGGGCCGTAGTATTGAGGTGCTTTCTAAGGTCTCGCCGCTAAACCTGTAGGCCGCATTGGCATGTTACCCCGACACTGCTGCTTCCTTGTGTATATTCTCCCAAAAACCGTGCAGGTATGGGGGCTTCTTTTAAGTTTGTGCCTTTACCACATGACAAGCATACCGTGGCTCTCAAATCTGTGGAAACCCTTATGAAAAAATAATAATAATAATAATAAATAATAATCTATCTATATTCCTTTAGGCATGTTAGGACGATTACCTCCAGCTCTTTCGATTTTCTGCGGATTTGTCCAGTTACGGTATTGCTTCCTGTGGGTCAAGTCCCTCAGCACTGGGCAAAACCTTGGATTAGGCGTCCTTTTTCATCTGCACTGACCCCCTCTGCACGCTTTTTTTTGTTTTTCCTTTCATTTATAAATTTCGTTTTCATACCGCTTCTGCAAAGTTTAAACAGGCGGCTAACGCTTTTCGTCGGATCTGTTTTTCAGCGCGGTACTCAGATAAGCTAAGGAAATACCAGAAAAAATACCTGATTCAGCGAGTGAATTTCGATGGACGCTGTTAGCCGCCGCGCAAAAAAAGAATAGCAAATTTAAACTTTCGAAGTGTTCGTGTAGAACCAAGCCTTATGAAAATAGCTCATTATTGTGGGACTCGACCCACAGGAAGCAATACCACAACGGCAAAAAAAGCCGGAAGTGGAAGCCGGATTGGGAACGCGGTTGTTCCGCCTGATGCTGCAGGAAGTCGCCCAGCATCCTGGCAATGACCTTCCAGCTGTCCCATAGCAGGCTCCCTTTTTTCCTCCTCCCTATAGAAGCTAGCGCGTCCTCGATCTCCGCTTTAGCTTAAAAAAATGTTTCTTATAGTACAACGTAACCAGTGGATCTCCTCCAGCACTTCAAATATTTTGCGGATTTGCCCTGTTGTGGTACTGCTTCCTGTCGGTAAAGTCCCACAGTAGTCATACAAGTCCTACAACTGCTTGGACCTTCTGCGGTCGTTTTTTGGGTTTTCATTCCATTTTTAATTTTTTGTTTCCGTAGCTCTTTTGCACGAACACAGCCAAATTAAATATCTTATTCTTTGGGCCGCGGCTAACGGCGTTCATTGAAATTAATTTTAATTTTAATTTAATTTCTTAGATCATCTGAGTACAGCGCTGGAAAAGGAAGCCTAAAACTACTAATATATAAAAAAAAACCTTTAAACATTCCATTTATTTTTATTTCTTTGTACACCCACAGATTCGTCTTTTTAAAATTCATAAATTTTTCGTTTGTCAACAAAACAAACCCAGCTGCTTGACAGTCCACAGACCAATGCTTTGCAACATTAATCTAAAATTAATGTATTGTTGCTTGGAGAAGGAATTATGCTACACACTACAAAAAATAAGATTTTTTGAATAGTGAAACTCTTAACCGATCTGAGTGCTTAAATTCCTTTGTTTTCACCGCGTTGTAGTAAATATACCAAATACCACGGAGCGAATTTGGTATTTGCTTGGTATTTTCCCACCACAGACGAACGGCCATACGCATATTAACGAGCTCGGTTGGACGCTTCAGTCCTAGGATAATAAAAAGAATACAATAAATAATAATACGAAATAATACATCAGAATTAAGATTACCACCTGTGGTTTTCGGTTAACGCAATTAAGTGCAGCACCCAAGTGCAACGCAAACGGTTTAAGCGCGTTTCAGTTCCCCTTCCACAGTGAAGCTCACACCTTAAAACTTGTTTTGAGTTTACCAAGTAGAGCGAGGTGTTCGTGCGTTTGTGTATACATACAAACAAATGTAAAAGTCTTCAGAAATTCCAACGCAACCCACAAATTGCACTGCAGAACCCTTGCATTTCTAGTTGGAGATATTTAAATGATATTATTTAATTGCAAAAACTAGTAACAAATCACAGCCATTCAAAATGGGTAAGTTGGTGAAAAGTTTCCCTTCAAATATAAGTGCTTTAAAGGTGAAATAGCTCTGGAAACTAAAAAACATAACTAAAGTTGTAACTCTTAGTGGTTTAATAAACTATCGATTCCAATTGGGCAAGCACCAATGTTTACGTGTCACGTGAAAACGGTGTTCTAATTGAGATGCAATATAATGTATAATGTTTACAAAACTAAAGCTAACAAGAGAACTTATAGTACTAGCTTGTATTTCGTAGGTTTACACTCGCAGAAGTTACGGCCTTAAGACTGGGGGCTTGGAGACTGATTCCCGCCAGTTCATATTAAATTCTGAACTATTCTGTTTAACTTCCACCTGAAGCTTTTATTTAAATCAGATATATCCAAATATTTTTAAACAACATTCATAAAGATGCAGACATAGATTTATTTTTTGAAAACATTCATATTTTAGTTTCCACAGTTGAGTTAAATACGAAATAACCATACATTATTGATACCAATAACACTAAGGGTAAAGGTATTTTATGAACTTGAAAAATTGGTAAAGAATATTACAGATATAGGTTTTAAAAATATTGGAATTTTACATAATACATTTTATTCGAAACTACATAAAGTCCTCAAAACAACACATTGGGTGGCAAAGGCATTTGAGTTTTCATAATTCCCAAATAAAAATTGCAATAAAAAAATGACTTTTGTGCCTATGCATTTAGATTTTATTTATACTCGATTCTTTCTCTGTTCAATCAATATACATTTTTTAACAGAAATTTAAACATAAACACACTGCATTTTTTTCTCCAAAACTGCCAAATTTACCAGAGTATCAACGTTTTCAGCTAGACTTCCTGAAGCAGTTTATTTACGCTCTGGCAGCTGGCTTTATTTCGTTCGCAAAGAGTCATTGCACGCTACCGGAATTAATGTTTGGCTCTAATGCCGAGCCTGTGCTTGTGTCTTGGTGTCATTGGCATCCCGCATTTGGCATCTAGAGTAAGGCATCTGGTCTGCCCCAAAGCCTCGGTGGCAATTTCCATTCCGTCTGGCACAGACACCGCGGGACTTCCGGTGAGAATCTCTCAAATGCGGATGCATTTAAAGGGCTCAGGCTCTTCACTCGCTTCGCTGGCAGGATGTCATCTGGAGGCCTTATTCCCTTTTCTAAGGTCGTTGTCCCGTCTGTCTTGTCTAGGCCTTAAGCTGCCACTAAGCACATAATTAGCTTAGTTACATTTCACAGAGACGTACTCCAAAGAACTAAAAGAAAAGCTTATACTTTACTCCTGTAGTTAAAGTGGCACAACCGTTGACAACCGAATAAAGTAAAAGATTTATCTCTATATATTCTTTAATATTACATACGGTCGATCTTCTAAAACCAAGAAATCATATTTTACAACTGCTCCTTAAAGGGCAGTTATCTTACTTTCTTTATTAGCGTGACTTTTTGACCTGACCCAAGCACTGAACTTCTCCCAACAAGTTCAAACTAATTGTCTCATTAATTGAAGCTACGCGCCTGTAATGCACAGAAAATAATATAGTTCAATTTGATAATTTTGTAAAATATATTACCCTTAAAGAACTTTTGACTGAAATTATAATATTTTTTGCTGGGGTATAAATATAAATCTTTAACACCATTATTAAGCGTTCTAAAGGACTAAAACATTTTCATTTTTAAAATAAAGTATTTGCTTAAGATCATACAATTAAATATATTTTTTTATGGCATTAAAAATAGAAAACCTGCCTATAGAAAAATATGTATGAAAATAAAATCAATTAGATGTGTGTTTTGTAATAAACGGTATATAATATTCCAATGGTACAAAATTTTTTTTATATACCAAAACTTTGTTCACATACTTCAATATTAAACAAGAGAAACCGTTACACTCGACGGCCTCGACTATCAGATACCCGTCACTCAGCTAACAAAAAAAAAACGCCACCTTTTGTTCGTTCCTAGCGACTGTATACGAGATTTCGGTAACACGCCACATAACGTGATCCTCTCGCACTCTATTGAGTTTGATAATTGTTAATTATTGTTTGGATATAACTTTTTATGAATTGTCCGATTTGAATATTTTTTTGCGTGCAAATGGGTATTGATAATAAGAAAAAAATCTCATTTAAATTTTGACAACATTTTTAAAAATGTGGGTGGTAGACGGGCTTGGTGTTATAGGCGATTGGCGTTAGAGTAAGCATGGCGCCCAGCCCACTGCACAGGTAGCCAAAGAATCTACATGCCAAGTCCCAACATTCTAGCTCTTATAGTTTCCGAGATCTCAGCGCTCATACGGACAGATATACTATAAATATGCTTTTTGGGGTCGGAAACGATTCTTTTTACCAGTTATCCTTTTACTCTACGAGTAACGGATATAAAACATTGCCACAGGCACCTTCGCTAACGTTCAAACTCCTTTTTAAGTATTTACAAGGTTGGGACTTGGTACCAAATATAAAATATTTTGAAAATTTGTGCTGCCTATGTCAAAACCAACAATGTCATTTTGCATATTTTAATATCTTTTGAAATACTTTAAATCTGTTGATTTTTTCTGCAGTGTAAAGAGAATCAGTAAGGGAACGCTACGCTCTCTGAAAGAGCAGTCAAATATGCCAGTTATCGCGATAGTTCTCTTCCGGGGAACTGAGAACATTCGATGTCGAGCGCAGCCCATTCAGATTTCTTTCTTTTCTACGGAGCGACGGAGCGTCAGTCGCTATTCGTTGTCACTTACTATAAAAAAATAGTTATAACTTGGGACTCTTGATTGGATGACGTCGGTGCGCGTGTGATTCATTGTGTGCTGATCAATTTTGGCTAGCTTACTTCCCATAGTCAGTGTGTAACTAAACCTCTCTGTAACTCCCGATTCCGCAAAGCACTGTGCAGTATGCCGGGCAAGGGGAACAACCGCGATCGCATCCGGGATCCCCGCGAGGAGATTCTGCTCGAGACGAACTTCGAGGACGATGGCGGAGTCCTGACGCGCGCCTACAACGGAAACCCGTACAATCCGTCCATCCAGAACCGTCGGCGTAACTCATACCGCTCGGATCACTCCCTGGACAGGTACACAGAGCGCGGAGGCGAAGGTACGATCCCGATTCCGGGGTATTTTCGGAGCAGGAATTGCATTCCAATAGTGCAGTAAACCGATTTCACTCTCACAGAATTTTGTGTACCACCTTGTGCTTATTTTGCTTTACGTGAATCACTGGACAACCTGTAACCACCAGTCGCTGGCTCACCTGTTATCTTATCACTGTCTTTTCCATTTATGCTTCACAAGCAACTTGTATTTGTGTATGTGTGTTTGTCTAAAATATATAATGCACATATGTACGTATTTCTTAAACGCTAACCATTTCTCTCGTATAGCTTAAAAATCTTCATTATTGTATATCTGTACCTCTGTTGTTTTTCTTGTTTTTCGTCTCTCTGACTCATTTCCTCTGGATTAATAATTAATTAACACCCAAATTATATTATAATTCAAAAACTCAATGCTAGCTATAAGAATTCTATTTGTTTTTCCTGACACACACTTTTAGTGTTTTCCGGTTAACCATTAATTTCGTTATCGTTTTTTTGGATCAAATTAATTTCTAATTTACGTTAATAGATTAACCTAAAATTAATATTCATTACTCTTGCTTGAAACCGTAGAAACGGAAAATTATAACCCATATGCACAAAAAAAAAAAAAATTTGTTGGTGTGAAATAAGAAGATCCATCTTCAGATCAATCCAACGTTTAGTTATTTTTATTTTTCACGGTAATGATTTCATTTTTGAGACACCTTGCTTATATTATTTTTGGAACACTCACTTTAAGGAGGAACAGAAAAATATATCATAACTAACAGTGATTTTGGTAGTTTGACCTTTGGATTTAATCGTCATAAACTTCATTTCAATTTTGCAGGAGAATGCTGCCAATCATGCATGGCGCGTATTCCCTACGCCACCCTGATAGCCACCCTCATGTGCCTCCTGGGAGTCGGCATTTTCTGCTTCACTATGTACCGGGGGGCCTCACTTACCGTTATTATGGTGGACCAGGTCTTTCACCTGCGCCTAATATGGTGAGTAAATAATTATCACCCTCCAATTATCATCTAATTGATCTCTGAAATCATTTAGGATCGAAGCGGTGCAGATGATATTTGTAATAATTGGAGCCGGCATGGCGGCCCTCGGATTCATGATCCTATTCGTCGGATTTTTGGCCACCGGTGCCACAAGATATAAGGTGTACCGGGCCTGGCGATCGCGAGTGGGCGGTCGGATTTCGTGCGCCGTTCTTATGGGGATAACCTACCTTCTCAACTTCGTCTGGAGCCTGATCCTGTGCTTCCTGGTAGTGGTTACCTTCATCTACACAATGTTTTGGAACATGTGCTCGAGTGTGGAGCACTCCCAAAGCTGCATTGATTTGACACAATTTCGTGAGTCCTTTTATTAAATATCTACCTCTAGAAGACCTCTAATGTTTCAACGATTTCAGATTTCATGTTTCCGCCTAACACGAAACTCGAGGACATGAAGGTCTGCGAAAAGTATGAGATCAAGGCCTTTTGCAAAGACGGCGTGGAGAACGCTGAGGTCATGTTCATATTGGCCACCCTGTCCACCCTTTTGGTCCTGCTCAGTCTGGTCCATTATCTGATGTGCCTGTCTGCCAACTATGCCCATATCCGGGACCACGAGAAGTTTCAGGAGCTGCAGGAAATCCAAAACCTCAATGAGCTGGAGTACAGTGCTACTTCGAAGGATCGGTTCTAGGACATATTTCAGAAGATTCAATTTGAGCTTAAAGAGAAGTCCAGCGCTATTTGAGCTATTCACGCACCATACAACGAACAGTGAACAAAATTCCAACGAACACCATCATGCTATAGCTAAGATTTTTTGTTAGACCTAAGATTAAAGTTTATTTTGAAGTTTGACATGTTCATTTAATGAGTTAGTGGCTTCAACTATTATTTATGTTCAAAAATCTTCATATAATAAGCAGTTCTATTCAAATTATAACTGCCAAAAGGAAACATCCCACTGAAATGCTTTTGTTTTCTGCACTCTTACTATAATTAATTTTCCGTCCATTACATTAAGTTAGCCTACATTCTTCATTGTCTTTCTGTTGTTATATCCTCGAAAACAATAAATACATACACACATGAAACACAAATGCTTATGCTCAAATTGATTCTTCTGAATTGCCGAATGCATTTTATTAAAATACGAATACGTTAGTTAATCAAAACTTATCATTATATAGTGTAATCCATCCGTGAATGATTATCTTTCTAATCTGTACAAGAAACTACTTTTACATGTGTATATTTCTATATTGCATATACAAATTGAAAGCAATACGAATCCTGCCGTAGTATTTTGTAAATGCGGTAGCAGCAGATTGGCTAAGTATAAATATATTTATCTTGTATTTAATATAAACACGTACGTAATATTAATAATATATTTTATACTACAGTTTTCTAACCTCACAGTTATACAAAAAGGTAGGATAACATAAGAGTGTTTACACGTAATCTTTTTAACATATAATAAAATATTTGAGGAAAATCAAAGTTAAGCGCATTCTGAAATAAACCGGGTGGATTTGGTAGCATAATGGGATTTCATTTTAAAATAAGCCAACCTGTAATCTAGTTCTTTTTTGGAAGAAAAAAATGAGCTCTGAAATAACAGAAGTTGACTTCAAAAAGCAAACACTTTTTCCCCACTTAAAGGATTTTCTTAGAACTTACCAGATAATAAACTGCATAAATAAACGCGTCTTATATATTTATAAATGATAAAAATAATTACATTTAATTGTGGCAAATTTCAATTTTGAATTAAACTTTTCGAGCTAATATTATAATAAGCACAGGGAAAACTTTAAAATATATTTACCTTTAATTTACAATATAAAATATATTCGATCAAACTTTAAAACTAAATGAGGAGATTTTTTGATTGATTTATAAAAGCATGCGATTATAGCAAGGCGTTGTCGTTTTAGGTGTCATTACATTACTGTAGTCAATCTTCCTGCCGCCGCCCAGCAATGGAGCGGTCTTTAACTTCAGCTGAATATTTGGCATCTGACTGATTCTATCTCTGACCGCGAATGGCAAGTCGTCGTCTTTGCCGAAGTGGGTTGAAGTTCCGTTGGGTTGTGTGTAGGTTATACCTCCGCCTTGTGTATGCGGTATAACAGAGACTACGGATCCATCATAAAATTGCACTTGGACAACTCCATGGGAGAGCTAGATAACAGAATGGGGATATCTTGAATGCTCTGAAAGATAAATACACAAGAAATCACTAACTAACCTCAGTAGCGATTCCAATATCAGGAACATTGATGCGTTTGATGGGAATGTTTTGATGGGCGGCTAACATGTTTGACCTGGAGCAGTTGTTTCCGAAATCAGTGGTATTTCGAGTCGACGAAATAGTGCTTACAGAAAAATTAATTGAGCCCTGTTGGTTTTTAAAGGGAAAATGTAATACATGCGGGATCATATAATTTGTATATATACCTGGTTTGACTTCGGTGTGGAAAACGCAATGTTAGTGGTATCCCTCAAGCCATCTAATCTCTGAGCTGGCTGTACATCTGTTATTGGCCTTCGTCCAATTGTGACTGGAAAACACGTATTGTCTTTCGTCTGAGCAACCTCCAAGGCATTGCTGATGTTGACACAGTGGGTAAAACACTCGTTTCCATGCTCTATTAAGGATCGTGGCTCCGGGCAAGAAAGATCTGAGAGCAGCATTCCATTCGCATCGTACACCTTTAGACCCTCGGAGGCCGACTTTAAAAGCTTAGCCCCCGAATAGAAGCAAATTTCGAAGTCTGTCATGGTTTCCATCAATTGGCATTTGCCAAGGGCACTGAAATATGTTACTTTCGGCGTCTTGCTCTTTACCAGCCCCACAAACCGTGCTCCGTATACATATTTTTTCCAGTGTTTGCTGGGCAAATTGTCGTAATTATAGACGCAATCTCCACTGGGTATTTGAAGATCTGGTGGCTGCTCTTTTACTGGTAAGCCACTGAAATGTCCCAAAATATTAAAAATGAGCCTTTAATTATCATCATAACACTTGACTTACCGCCCAGGATCTGGCTGATATATTATGATACGCTGACCGTCGTCCGATATGCGGCAAATATCACATATGCGGTCTTCATTTAGCTTTGGCCGAAATTTTATAAACTCCAGGACCACCTCACCATTGCGTAAAATACTCATTATAGCATTCTTTGTCTTATAACGCGTCGGTAGCAATCTTTTGCTGCTCAATGGTGGCACGGAAATTCGCTCTTCCTTAAGAAGCACAGGTCTGGAATTTGGTACCATATCAATGTCCATGCGGATAGGCGGCATCTTGCATGTTCCTGGCCAATTTTGTTCTGCTAACCCTGTTGATGTCTGCCGAAATAAGCCTGGCTGCTCATAAGGCAACCGATGATGATCCTGCATGAATTCTTCCTCTATTTGGGGAAGCACTTGATGCGCTCCCGAGTTTTCCACAGACCGAATTCGTTGCGAGTTTCTGGAGTCACCTAAAATGGAAAGACTCGGTGAAACACCACCCCAACCGTAATTCCCTGAATGCTTACTGCTAGCGAACGTTATGATTCCACTATCGCCGCTTTCCAGGCTCTGGCTGAACACATTCAACGCCCCCGGTGTCGAGTGTCCTACATTCGAGCTATTATCCAATCTCTTCAGCATAAACGGATGGCATAGGACTGCGCCCAGGGTGATTCGTTCGTGAGGAAGCTTCTTCAGCAACTTGTTTATTAAGTCCTGAGCCTCATAGGACAAATGAGCCGGCATTAGGTACTCGGACATGACCACTTTGTTAAGGGTGGACTGTACGGCATCGGTTTCGAAGGGCGGTCGTCCCACCAGCAGGGTGTACAGCATGCAGCCAACGCTCCAGACATCGGCTGGGAGTCCGTGCGACACTCGTGAAACCACCTCGGGCGAAATATAGTTGGGTGTCCCACACATGGTCATATGCCGCTCATCCGGTCGCTTTAATTGGGTGGCCAGTCCGAAGTCGGCGATCTTGACGTGCATTTCCTTGCTGAGCAGCAAGTTGGATAGCGAGATATCGCGGTGCATGATGTTGTGCGAGTGCAGGTACAAAAGTCCCTCCACCACCTGCTTCAGGATGGAGGCGGCTTCCGTCTCTGTAAAGGGTCTAGCAATATGGTTCATGTAGCGATGAAGCTCGCCATTGTGGGCTAGTTCCAGCACCAAGTAAACATAGTTGGAGTCCTGGAAGAAGGTGTACAGCTGAAGTACAGATGGGTGTTTCAGCCGAGAGTGGATTTCCACCTCCTGGCGAACGCGGTTGGTGAGTCCTGTGCCTTGGATCAGTTTCTTATCGATCTAGGGGCGAACCAATGATTAACATAGGGTTTCACAATGTAAGGAAGGTCTTACCATCTTAATGGCCACATCCTGGTGAGTGTGCAGGCATCTCGCCTTGTAGACACTCGCAAAACCGCCTTTGCCCAGCAAGTGCTGTACTTCATAATCCTGCAAAGGCAAGCCACGCTTGAACAGTCTATACGGTTACTGGACTCCGGGGTACCCACCTCAATTGTTTCTCCAAAGGCCCGATTGGATAACATAGTTAGCTGTGTTCCACGGACTTGCTAAGCCACTTGCTATTTACTATTAATATCAACCAACCATGTAAACAAACAAGCCAAAAAAATTTGAACGCCACCGTTAGTGTTGGCAAACTTTAAACCAGTTTACAATCGTTTATTTACCAACACAAACGAGGGCTGAATTTCGATAAATATTTTTAGAACTGTACCCTTTTTTATAATTTAATCAGGAATTTTTATTTTAATAAAGCTGTGACGCTTTTAAATTATTTTTATTTTTAATAGCGTAATTCTTATGTTCTAAATTAAATATCGCCTTAGCCAACCTATCGATACGAGAAAACCCCGATTTTCAAACATTTTCCTGGTGTGACCATAACTAGGAATACTTTTAACTTTATTTAAATTATTATATTTAATTTGTAAAATATTGATTTAAAATTAACGAACATACGTTGCAATTCAGTTTTCCGCATTAATTTCAAAACGATCTAACAAAAACACAAGTATTTGTCATCCAATGATTTCCGATAACAGCGCGTTCACACTGCCTTAAAAGTGATGCAGCCCTGGTTAATTAATCGCCGAGAATATTGCCAGCCATTGTCAATGCTGAAAATCATGGCGAAATTATTCTAATGGTTTTACTCGAAACAATGCCTAATGAGACATGTAACCTGCATTTGAACAAACTATCTTATATCTGTACCAATCCTGCAACAAACTGATGCAGTTTTCGCGTAATAAATACGATTCGCAAGCATAAACAACGTCGGAATACGAGTCTGTGACGGCCGTGTTATTTAATAATTTAAGGGCTTCAGCGAGTGCGTTTGCCGACAGCCAAAACAAAGAAACGCGCAACCCGCCAAGTACGGTGGCATTAAAGTTTTTAACGAGTGGTGTTTGCATAATTTACATCTAAAAACTGGTAAGTCCGCAGAAAAGAAAAATAAAATGACCCACATACTTACATTTGTACGTATGTGCGGCGGTGTGTGTCTCATACATATATAAACGCACACAACCTTGGACTCGCACACTACGTCACGGCGAGCAACAGTGTTAAAGCAGTGTTGGAAAGTGCCCTCGGATATAATTTTAAAAATTAAGTTTTTAACATCGAGAACAAATTATTTCAATCGCATTTTCTTTTGTATTTTCAGTTTTCGCGGCAGGGTCTCGAACTTTCTCTTTCGGTCTACTCGTTTTCCGTGGGTAGGCTAGCAATATAAAACCCTTACTACAAATTATCAGAATACTTGTGCAATTATAATTTAAAATCATAAATTAAATTAGAATCATAATTAAAGAATGAAAAAAGTTATTATTTTTGCGGAATTATCTAGTGTGACCTGCGATATTCATCCCTAAAATAGCAGTGGCACCCAACACGCGTTCTTCAGTTATTAACCACAGCGATGCTTGGTCACACTCGCCACTTCATTATAACCTTAAAATGACAAGTTATAAATTTTTTTTATGTTAATTTTAGTGGAAACCCAACACTAAATCAACTTTTAAGAGCAGTGCCGTGAAGTGCCGAACTTTTTTGATTGCCTGCGCAACTGCTACGCTGTGAACTAGCACATATCGCCACGATAATCATGTAAAGAAAACGTCACACGAATATGTGTTTGTGCTGAGAGGCAGCGATGTAAATAAAATTCGAGCTGCTCCCGAGGAAAATTTCACCGCACAGTTAGGAAAAACTTGGATGCCGGGGTGTTACTGGCAGTACGAGTAAATATAGCGATCCAAACAACGAAATACTAGCACGAACCGTAGAGAACTGAGACTGGTGTCTGCGGATCTTGCGAGTGCTCTCATCCAGTCGAGACGCTACGATGCATGCATCCTCCGCCGCGGCCACCGCACTTGTCGAGTACTCGGACGTCAGCTCGGAGGACTTCTCGGACCAGGAGGCCGGCGACTTGGACGCGGACGCCGGTAAGGGAGCCGGGAACATAAAGAAACCAAAGCCTGCTGCGGATAATCAATTCCCCAAAGGTCGTCTTGGTGCCAAGCCCGGTAAGGAGGGCTATGATAACTACAGGTAAGCCGCGCACACAGTTCCTTAAATGTGGCGGTCGTAACATCCCTCTATTGCAGAAAAAGACGGGCTGAAGACTCAAACGATCCTGCTGCGGCCGGATCGAGGCAAACGTCGAGCAGCGAGGCCACCAACCCGCGGGAGGACCCCTCGCAGGCATCCAATACCTCGAAGGACGAGTTGTGGGGCAGAGAGATCTACATGTCCAGCGACTCTATCGACACCGACGAGCTCGAGGCGGAGATGAAGCGGCAGAAGCGCAAAAAGCAGAAGAAGGACAAGCACAAACATAAGTCCAAGAAGAAATCGAAGAAGCGCAAGAAGAAGCGGGCCAAGTCGTACTCTAGCATCGATTCGATGTCGGATAACGACATAAATGCCTTACTCGACCGGCGCTACACCCCGCCGACGGCTCCGAGCAAAAGCAACGAGCGAACGGTTAGTGCCGCGCCTTCCACCTTCACCCCACACAACCTCAAGGAGAGCAGTTCGCCGGCTACTCCGCCGCCGGCGCGTCGCCCCAACGCCAATAGCACCTACTACGGAGATTCGTCCGTGGAGACTGCAAACAATGCCCTAGGCAGCAACCTGCAGGTTACCGTAACGAACAAGCAGACGAGCAGCAGCCGACACCGCTCCCCTCCTCCCTCCACCCGCTCCAGTGGCAACGGTCCGAGGTTTGGAAACTCTCCGCGTACTCCTCCGCCCTCGCACTACACCTCCTCCAGCGGTGGTGGGGGTGGTAGTGGGTCAGTGGCGCGCGACTCACGCAGCTCTCGCTACGTGGGTAGTCCCCACAAGGAGGAAGTGAATGCGCATCACCGCTCCAGCCACGATCACGGCTATCAGGCTCGTTACTCGGGTGCCGGTTCCAGCAGCCACGATGCCAGGAAGGTGAAACGATTATCACCCGGTAGGTTTGGCTTAAATTTCGGTACATTTTGTTTACCTAACTGGGGGAAATGTTACAGAGCTGGACCGCTACAATCATCAGCCGAGTACACCGCCCCACAAGCGACGGAAGTTCAGCGACGGCAGGGATGTCGGACTCGGGAACTTTGAGCACAGTCGGCATCACTCTGGCAAGTACGAGCGCTACAGCAGGGATCGGTATTCAAGGCGGTCATCAAGGTAAGGTCCTGGCCGACTCTATTAAAGTGTAGGGTTGCATTTGTAATGAATGGTAATATATAATAACACTGCTTTCGATTTGTAACACTAGTTCGTCTTCTACTTGCGAACATGTTTAGAAGTGAAATATTAGCTTAGCTGAATTTACCTTAAATACTAGCTATGGAATTAACAAGAATATTTTGCAAACACTTTTTCAGGAGCCCTAGTGTGCAGCACTCTCGCTGTCGACAATCTCCTGTCGGTGGCCTGTCGTCTAGTGGAGCTGGTTCGAATGCGTTCCGACATGGAAGCAGTCACAAACACAAGTACGGAACGACGGCTGGCTCGCCGACTTCCCATACGTCAAGATCCAAGCGTGCTTCCGGTACGGGTACCTCCGGTGATCGCTACTCGAGATCGCCGAGAACAAGCTCGCGCTACTTGGAGGCCTCACCCCCATCGCCAGTCGGAGCCTCCGGCTCGCATCACCATCACCATCGTCGCTCGCCAAGGATGCGGCAGAGGACCAGAGGAGGCAGCCGTCGGCGGTCGCCAAGTTCGGCTAGCAGCGAAAGCTCCGCCTCGCGCAGTCGATCGCCAACGTCAAGGGATCTAAAGCATAAGCGCGAAGAGTATATTAAAAAGATTAGCGAGACAAGCCTATTTGCCGAGCTGGTCAAGGACCGTCACAAAAGGCAGAAAGCACTAAAGGAAATCATCGAGCGGCAGGAGGAGAACAGCAATAGCAATAGCAACAGCAACGGTGCACTGACCATTAACGACAACAGTTCCTCGGTGGATGGCAACACGCCCAACACGGGTGATGGCCGATCTGGCCCTGGAAGTGGAACACCCGCAGCGACGTCGGCGACTTCCAATGGGCTTGAAGTCCTGGGTAGCAAAACGGATCTGGACCTCAACAACATTCCCATGCCAAACAAGGAGAACGAGACTGTGGCTCCGAATCCAGGTCCCAACGCCGATGTTCCGGACAGCTCCACGCCGTTAAAGCAGCCTTTGTTGGTACCACCTATTTCGGCCATTAGGAACTATTTAAAACCGAAGAGTCTGACCGCTCTGCCGCTGCCGCCTGGGATGAATGCCCTTGACCTGGTTGGTGCTAGATCTCCTTCGCCGGCGCAGAAAAAGAGTCGGACGAAAAGAACGTAAATTCTAGCGTCAGCGCCAACAAGAGCGTGCTTAATCTTCCGATGCCACCGGTAATTCCCGGCAGCGAAGAGCTAAGTGGCGACGATGATGTTATCGACAGTCCCGAGGACTTTGATGCCCCATCTGGTGGCAACGTGCAGGGCCACGGTGGTGGGCAGGGAGCCACCCGTCGGCGCCCAGTGATACTCAATCGTCGAGACTCGCGGAACAATGTCCGCGACTGGGGCGAGCGATGTGTAGATGTTTTTGAAATGATTGCGCAAATAGGAGAAGGAACTTACGGGCAGGTAAGAAGAGGACTTCTGTGAGTTCTTTAGGAAATGCTATTTTGTTATTTATCCTTTCAGGTCTACAAGGCGCGGGATCATCACACCAATGACATGGTAGCTCTGAAAAAGGTCCGACTCGAGCACGAGAAGGAGGGCTTTCCCATCACAGCTGTGCGCGAAATCAAAATATTGAGGCAATTGAACCATCGTAACATAGTCAACCTCCATGAAATTGTGACAGATAAGCAAGATGCCGTGGAGTTCCGTAAGGATAAGGGATCCTTCTACCTTGTGTTTGAGTACATGGATCACGACTTGATGGGCCTGCTCGAGTCCGGCATGGTCGACTTCAATGAGGAGAATAACGCTAGCATTATGAAGCAGCTCCTGGATGGTCTCAACTACTGCCACAAAAAGAATTTTCTGCATCGAGACATCAAGTGTTCAAACATTTTAATGAACAACAGGTGGGAAGATATAACTTTTGGGTGGATTGCAAAAAAAGTTTTATTACAGAAAATATTGTACCTGTAACTGCGCAA